AATAAAGGATTTATTTCCACCAAACCAGAGTTGGTGATTGTTGGAAACACTAACAAAGACCGTTTTAATGAGTTCTATTCTATTTTTTATTATTATATACGAGCTAAAATGACTGCTTTTGTCTGGTTGGCTGCAGTGGGCACTGCTTTGGTCTGAGATGCTACTGCTCTAGGAGATCTAGATCTATGTGCATGTCGTATATATATATATAACCTTTAAACTCTAAACAACCACATGCCTATGACATCTTTATTGTAGCAGAATATAACACTTCCAGTGAATCTTTTTATACCTTTTTATAATAAATAAAATGTGTTCAGTGTACACATTTACACCTGGAAGCTGCCCAGTACAACCACAGTCTGATCTGCTGGAGCGCCTGGAGCGGTTGGAGTGAAGGGCCTTGCTCAAGGGCACCTCAGCGGTGGTAATGAGGATATGAAATTAGAATGGTTTATTGCATGTAATGGATAAAGGTGAACCAATATATGTTCAGGAGGCAACTGTGTGGAAGTTTAGACTCTTGACACTTTGCTCTTAGTTAGAGCCCCACTGGTTCCTGTATTTGAATAAGAGACGAAGAAGGGGAGGAAAAAGAAAAAGAAAGGGTTTAGGGGGAGGGATGTGAACGAATAAGGTGCTTAAGTACTTTTTGTGTGGAAATTATGAGTTTTGGATGTGGTCAGATTTATCCTGCATCCAGGCATTAAACCGACGACCTCCCGGTTACAAGCTGACTTCTCTGAACGCAGTTATGTTTGCTTCTCAATCTTTGTGTAAATGTGATTTCCAGGAATCAAGATGTCATGTAAAGAGTCTATTTTTACACGATTGCAGTGTTTTGGGTTTCTGTCCTTTGGTAGGAAATGTAGAACACAAGCTGTTAGTAAGACATGACTCAAACCTCATGTTGGCTCTCTGAACAAGGCCACAGGATTGTCCTTTTGCGTTGTCTTCTGCTGTAGCTAACCAGATTAAACTGTGGAAGCAGTGAGTGAGCCTCTCCAAACTCCAGTCCAGTCGAAGAACTTTGTTGTTCTGCCAGGCAATATAAATAGCTCAGACAGAAGTGGGGTGAAGCAGCCAGAGGAAGGCAAAGGATGAGACGGAAAGTACAAAAGAGGAGTCGTGGGAAGACGACATAAAAGTAGAGGAAAAAAGTGGTAGATAAGTAGAAATTATGATGGCAGTTATCATGTAAAGATTGTGATTATGATGAGAAAGATTATGAAGAGCAAGAAGATAAAGGGAAGGAACAATGCAAAGAGGACGTTTAAGATGGTAAAGAGTCTTAAAAGCAGAGGAGAAGCAGGTGGCCACATCGGCAATTTCATTAACGGTGAACCTTCAGACTGTTCTGAATCTCAGTAAGGGACAAAGTTCGTTCAGTTGTATTATATACAATACAAACCGTTGGTGAGTGATTTACAGTCACGTCATTTAAATATCTAAATTACAAGAATCATCCCAAAAGAAGAAAGTCTCCATGTGGATATAAACTGCTGCTTTACTTTATGTTGGGAGCTTATTAAGTGC